TCAAGCGCGATAGTTTATCAACTATTGAAGTCGCGTTTAGGCCTGGCATTTTGGACCCAACCCGTTAATACTTGTATTTGGGTGGATACTTAACGGGTCGGGTCGTTAACGGGTGAACCCGTTAAATAACGGATCACTTTGGGTCAACCCGTTAGCACCCGTTAGTTAAGGATATTTTAGTAATCTTAGTAAAGTCTTAATAACAAAAACTAAAACTTTATAAAAAAAAATAATAATAATAATTGTTAACGGGTGACGCGTTAAGTTAACGGGGTTTTGACGTTTACGGTCGGGTTTGAACCCAATCCAATCCAATAAACCTGACCCATTTATAGTCTAGTCGCGTTCATGGAATGGCAACAGTTCAATTGGGATCTCGAATGTGTCATATCCATTTCATAGCCCAAAAATTGTCCACAACATTAAGCACAAATTTTTCTTGGGGTAAAAGACTTTAACCATCGCGTACTGCAAAATAATCATATTTCATATAATATTTTATAAATGTTAGCACAAAAGCTAATATTAAACTTTGAGGTAACAAAGAGTCCATAAAGAGTTTGGCATTGAAGGAGTCTCATTAATTTCTTAATCATATAATGTCTCTACATTGGATAACGTGTCTATTTCACCAATAAATAAAAAAATCATATTATTGTAAAAATTCGGAAAACAAAAATGAATGAAATTTGGTTTGATCAAATCATGTCAAGCAACATAAAAAACTAGGGATTAGAAGAAAAAGTATTATAAAAAAAAATCTAACCATAAAATGTCCACGTACAAAATAAAAAAGTTGGATCAGAAAGTATAGAGCGGGATCGTATAAACATATTCAAAACTTGTTTAGAGTAATGAATTCTACGTCGGGAAATAAGACACTTTTACATGTGTTTATAAATAACTGTGTTAGAGTACTTTTCATTTTACCAATTGGTTTTATGGTTGAACTTAAACTTTTTTATGGTATCAAAGTAGATTGTTCCATGTGTGAAGATCAAGTACCACCTGTGCTCCATTTCACCAAACATGTTGTTCACGTACTATGCTTAAAAATTTGTCACACGTAAGGGAACATGTTTAGAGTATTATTCCTGCATCTGAGAAAGAATGAACCTTACATGTGATTATAAGTAATTGAGCTCTTTATATTGTCAATTAATTTTATGATAAATACTCGATCTTTTTTCAAAACTGCTTTGAAAATTTTCAGTTTTTCCATAACTATCCCCATATCCAAATTTTCTCAAACAGACAAGCAAATGCGTAGATCGAATGTCGCGGATAAAATTGCCATCCCGTTGATGTTAAGATAGATTATTGATCAAACTCCCAATTGAACTAATTATGAAAACAAAGGGGGAGCCAGAGTTTCTGAAAATAGCAAATATATTTGGGGTGTGATATCCACACACCCATTTTTACTTCTCACACACCCTTTTAATTTTCGGCCGTCGGATCAGATGAAATGAAGAAGATCTAACGGATAGAAATTAACAAGGGTGTGTGAGAAGTGAAAAGGGGTGTGTGGATAGCACACCCTATATATTTTCAGAGAAGGCATCGAATTTGACTATTGAATGTCGCGGATAAAATTGCCATCCCATTGCTGTTAAGTTTGTCATGGTTTGGTCATCTAAAGAGGCTTCCCCCTTATTAAATGTTGACATCGAAAACTACATGCTTTACTTGTGCGACTTCTATGCCCAAAAGAACAATAATAATATAAGAGAAATGTTAAGGAGACTCTTTCAAAAATGAAATTCTTTATAGACTCTGTCACATTACAGTTTAACGTCAATTTTCGTGTCAATATTATAAAATATTGTGAAAAAACATGAGGTTGCAAAGAATCTGTGAAGTGTCTCACTTTAAAAGAGTCAACTTCTCGTACTATAAACACAAATGTCAAAATGCAATGCTGCATACGACATATTCTGGTATGTAACTTATTAATCATTGAATACAATTAGACCAAAAATTAAAAGAATAATACACTATGAAATGAACCTTAGTCTTTGATGCCAGCTACTTTGCTGCTAAGCAATTTTTTAATTATATAGAGTGTATTTTTGCTTACAACCCTTAAGTAATGGTAATACTCATTGTATCATTAACTACTGCTATATGAGTTTGAGAGTTAAACTTATCTAACGACAAATCAATTGGGTGATGAATACCAAATACGGTGAGCACAAATATTTCCCCTTATGTATATTCATGCACACCAACTAAAATTCATTTAACCACTACGCCCTACAGAATGGCCTAGTGGTTAGGACGCGTTTCAGACCCATATTTCACACGATGATGGTCAATGAAGGCTGAAATGTATATGTGAGTTTTTCCAACCTTAAAAAAAGTGGATTGTCGTTTGTGTGTTGGCAACCAATTGATCCCTTTTTAAGAAAAAAAAGCTAAAACTCATTTAATTTCTTTATCATCATCTAAGTTTAAGTGGTCAAATAATTCTTTCTGTTTCGTTGTAAATTTGTAACAATTATAGCACATAACAACCTCTTTCATATCAATCTATGTGCTACTTTTTACTACTTTTACTCTTTTAAATATTTTCTAATTTCTAGAATATGGATTATTATTTTTTAATTAATGTTCTTTTGGCTCTAAAGTGTGAGGTGAGTTGTTTTGTTGCTTGTTACACCCACATATTCGCCAATATTGGGCTATTAGATTGGCTAATTCACCAATTTTTTTTGCTTTGGCTTTTTTTTGTTTGTTTGAGTGACCCTCAAATTTAATTCAGTATGCCTTCTTTGAAATTTTTACTTTTTACTAACGTTCCAATAAAACCGTTATCATTTCACTAAAAAAATCAACAATACATCAAAGACACGCACAACCACAAATCTTGACATGATTGCAAAAGACAAACTTACTTTTGATCTAGTAGTATGTCTCTTTACTTAAATATTTTATTTCTAAAAAACAGATTTCAAGGAACAATTATCACTCTCATTCATGTCATATCTCATACGTTTACTAACAACCAATGCTAACAAATTAAGTCTCACATTGATTTTGGGTAATTGAAAGTAAGTAAAAGCTCTATTAGTTTAAGACGGACTCAGTTTTGTGCTACACAAATGATGAGGATAACATAGTGAATTCGATATCTTATTGTGCCAAGTCAAATTGTGACCCTGTAATCTTATCGTGGCACTATGAGTGCATTATGAAAGTCTTATAAAGGTTCTACCATTTACTTTGATCTTATATAATTTCAATTGTTGTGGATTAACTCATGTGGTTAGAGCCATAGTTTGTTAATTAATAAGATATAAATTATGAAATCATAACAAGTTTCAGTTATAAAGATTGGATAATAGTAGGGAAACCATCTATTTAAATCAAATATTGTAAACTATATGGCATGGCTATTGGTGATTGAATTATTACTTAATTGTTAATTACCGTGATTATTTTCTATTAGTGACGCATCACATGGTTTGCAATTTTGGTCTAAAAACTTGGTCTAGCTATCATTATCCATAAAAACTTGGTCTAGCTAAGCATAGGGAATAGGATTATATCTCGCCTCTAGATCTTCTCCCCCTCCCTCTCCTCCTCACTAACTATAAATAAGTCACCACTCAGTACTACGCTCTCGTGGTATTCCTCTTCATTTGGAAGTGAGAGATCTTAGGTTCGAATTTCATGGATAACGAATTCGATACCAAATTAGGTTGCATATTGTGTGGCTTAGCCGAAGTCCCCCTCCCCTAAAAATATTGATGTACTAAAAAAAAACTATAAATAAGTTAATACAAGATGTTGACGTGATTTAACCGTGATCATTCAAATAGAAGGGACTGGAGGGAGGGGAATTTAAAAACAATGTGTTTAGAACACGAAAAGAAAGTTGAACACATGAAGATTTCTCACCCTCCCAAAGCTTTCTCTCTAACTAATCACAGTTAGCTAACAAAGGTTTTGATGGGATCTCTGCCACCCGATGAATGTCCTGAAATGTGCAGATAGCGTTAGCAAGAGTTCTTTGTCGCAAATGCGAGGCCTACGAACTCCTATTATTCTATTGATTAAATCATCCCAACTATTAGATGGAATGCTCCTAAATTCAGTGCTCTCAAAATCAATTTTGATGTCTCGGTTGTCAATGATTACATGGCCGGTGTTGGACAGAAAAATTTAGAAGTAGGGAATTATACTGAACGAGTCGATCCTCTCCTCCGTTTTTTTAGCAACTTTAGGTCATAGAATGCTTTTCGAAATAGCACTTATCAGATGCTTCATCATGATGCATTTTCAAGTGTTTTTTTTTTTTTAAGAATACATAAAAAATATGCAAATTTAGTATTTATTATTTACATTTTCCGACGAAGATAGTTAATTTACGTTCTGCCATTAGAGAATTTTTTAACAAAGAAAAGATGTAAAATGCCTTAAAATGGTCATTTGCATCTCCCATAGGAGATGCCCTTGCAAATGCTTATGAGTAGAAATACTTCATATAAAAGCAATCTCAAACCGGCTTTAAAAAATAGAAAAATGTTAAGGGGATTCTCTCAAATGTAGAACTCTTCATGGACTCTCTAACATCTTACATTTAAAAAAAAATATTTTATACTGTTGAAACTGAAATTAATGTCAATCTATAAAGTAAAAATTTCACTTTTAAGGGAATCTTTTCAATATTTCTCAATTAAAAAAAAAGAAAAAAAAAAGAAGAGAGCCTATTCCAAAAGCATTTAATGCTACCATTACTTTAGGTGCCTCCTTTCCTTGAATTCTCCTCCCACCCCTTCCACAACCCCATCAATTAATATCCCAAACAATAAATGAACCCATTAATCAAATTCAATTAGATTTATTATTAGCTTAATTCAAATTCAAACAAATATTAATAATAGCAAATAAAATTAGCAATCAATAAATAACATAAATGTATTTTCTAATTTATTTTTTAAATATTACATAACGGGCTATATTTATTTACTACCATATACAGTTGGACTCTATAAAATCCCAAAGACCCCCTCTCCTTCTCTCTCTCTCTCCCTCACAAAACGAAGCTCTGTAAGGCCCCAGTAATGGCTGCTGATGTGAGCTCTCTGTTTCGGGTTCTTAGTGGGTACAGCGACGACCAACATCTGAGCGTTGGGAGTGATTCTAGTGGTGAGAAATCAACGGCTCTGATTACAAGAGACTTGCTTGGTGGTAGTGGGTCGTCTTCTTCCAAGCTTCCCAACGACTCCCAGGAACTGGACCTCGACTTACAGGTCCCCAATGGCTGGGAAAAGCGCTTGGACTTGAAGGTTGGTCGATTTTCTCATCTGGGTCATGTTTGTTTACCGAGAATCAATCAAACAGTGTGTTTTTGCATTTCTTGGTGGGGAAAACTTGGGAACTTGATTTTGATGTGGTTTTGTATCGTTGTGTTCTTGTTTTCGATTAGGTTGCTTTGAATTCTGATTTCATGACCTTCAATTCTGTTTCTTTCACGAATTTAACTGATATTGTCTGTATGTGATGTGTTTTCTTTTGCTTAATTCATGGATTTGGGAATGGCTGTTTGGTTGCTGAGAAAGTCGTTACAATCTTTTGTAATTATTTATTGATATTGTTTCAACAAAAAAAAAAATTCAAAAGGGTGTGTAATTAATAGGATGAGGATATATTTCTGTACTTAATCAATTAATTTGGTGATGTTCTTCAATGTTCTGCAAGTTTTAATCCCATTTTACATTCTTTAAAAGCTATGTCTTTATATCAGTAAATTGATTAATTGTACATATTCAACTCACCTTTTTATTGTTATTTATTTGTGTACTTAATATATTTGTATATTGATTGTTTGCAGTCAGGGAAAGTGTATCTTCAAAGGTGCAGTGCCCAAAATTCACATTCAAACTCAGATCAAAAGAGCCAAACCAATCGAACAGTTCCAAAGATGCAAGATTTGAACTTCCCTCCATCGGCGTCGTCGAAAATCCCACTAAATCTCTTTGATGAAACCAGCACTAACCTTGATTTGAAGTTAGTTTCATCATCACCACCACCCTCATGCAATTACCAGAGCCTATGCACTTTGGACAAGGTAAAATCCGCCCTCGAAAGAGCAGAGAAGGAGCCGATCAAGAGGCGGTCTTCGTCCATGTTGAAGTCATCGATGTCATCTTCGCCAACTTACTCATCGTCGTCGTCACCCATCAAAGAAACTCAGGAGGAGGACAGTGAGGACAAGCAATTTGCATCACCATTTGCAGCAGGGTGCCCTGGTTGCTTATCTTATGTACTGATCATGAGAAATAACCCTAAATGTCCTCGGTGCAATTCGGTTGTTCCGCTGCCAACGGTGAAGAAACCTCGGATCGATCTCAACAGATCAAATTGAGAGGAAGAGAAGACTTGTTCATCGTGCTTGATATGATTTTTGTATATGATATTCTACAACTAGTCTTTTTTCTTTGAAGAATTAGATCTGTTAGCCCTATAGAAGAGTATATGTACATTCAAAAGATTGGTTGCTTTTTCTAGCATAATTTACATGACTCGTATCAGTTTATGCCTTCATTATTTTTCCCAAATTTGATTTGCTTGTGTATTATCGATTTTATTTTTGATAAACCGCAAATAATTTACATTAAATTCATATAAAAACGAGAAGAGCACACTAACTTGGGTACAAAGCTAATATTAAATCCGTGTTAAGGTACAAAAAGTTTTATGAAATTTGGTTTCTGTATTAATGTTGTTGCTTTTGTGGCAAGTTATTGGCAGCATGCTATATATGCATGGCTGTTGGACCACAATGGTATGCCAAAAAGAAGGTTTTATGCTAGCATATTTTTCAGAACTTGAATATATTTTAGCATATCTGTTGGCAAAGAAAAGCAAAGTTATGTTCTCGGGCGATATTCTAATTTATTTAAATTGAGAAAGAAATTTAACATTAAGTGCCGAGGGTTGGGTACAATATTTTAGCCAACTTAACTACGTCTGCAAGCACCTATTCTATTATGGAATTGGATCCCATCCGGATTCATTTGTGGGGATCTTAGGGATCCCCAAATCTTAGTCATTCATCGTGTATTTTGCTGTCTTAAATCATTTGACTTTTTTTTATTTAAAATTAAACACAAATATAATCTGACGAAAACTGATTACACGATGTACGATGAACGGTTAGGATGTGGGGATCCTAGGAATCTCAACAAAGTGGATCCGAAGATGATCATTTTCCTTCTATTATGACACATAATGTCATAATCGGCAGCAGTAAATGCACTTTAAGTTTTGAATAATTAAAATCTGATTTAATGAACCTTAAGTGAGGATGCTTTACAGTTGCCACTGCCCCAAGAAAAATACTATTCACTTCCATCTACCCTGTTTTTTCAAATGTCCCATTTACCAAATTTGGTAGTAGTTTTCAACTTCCATATGATCAAATCAAAAGCCTTAAACTCTTTTCTTTTTTATAACGTGTTTATCACAATTGTGGTTTTCAGGTCTAATAATGCAAGGTTTTGTGCAAAGAAACTTCACGTGCGATTGTATTTTTAAACTAAAATGGTAGAATGTCACGGTGGTGACAAACTTGTTTTACATAAGTCCTTCTTTGATACAAGAGAATATGGTATGATAATGTTGTCTCGTTAAAATTTTGGGGAGATTTCAGCATAATATATGAAAAATAGTTCCCCACACTAAAATAGATAGATCAAATATTGAGTAATATTACACCCGTCCTTAGGCAAAAACATCGGCAATGAAATCAGGTGGTTCTTTAAACCCTGTAATAGATCACGAATATGTATCGCAAAACAAGCATGATGATTATTTTTGGTTGAACGATATTGGGGGAGGAGAGATTCGAGTGTAAAACCTCGAACGCGGTGACAGAGCAAACATGGGGTCATTGGTTGCTCATGACTCCAATAGCTTCATAACTTCAAGTATATTTATATGTATATTTGTGTATGAACCCTATACATAACTACGACAAACTGAAAAAGAAGGAGTCAAAAACATTGAATTACAAACCGCTTCTTCTTTTGTGCAACCCCATGTATTGTTACTTGTAGATTTTCTTCTTTCTTACCTTTGTCTTTCTTCTCATATTTCTCATGTTGATGAAAACCTTCACTCAATAGGCCTCTAAAAAATTGACATAATGCAGCATAACTCGGCAGGTACTCACTAGAAGCTCGACGAAATGATCCAATGATATTTTTTGCTAAATTATATGACCCCATTACCATAAAATTCAGACTCCACCACTACTCGAATGTATAAATAAACAGTCATAATAACTTAAGCTACAAGCCTCTTACACTCAGACTAATTTTACTCACCATAATCTTATCTTTGTGGGGGCAAAATATGTGTTCTTCATCAAAATAAAACCCATGATTTTGTTTTTTGTTTTATTTTTTTCCATCTAATTGTAATGAATCTAATGAGTTTTAAGGTTCCTTGTTGAGTTTGCCATCATCACAATAAGTCCCCGGGCCATTTCAACTAATTAAACACGTATCACCAAATTCGCAACCAAAATTTGACGTCAAGGGTTTGCACCACAATATCTACACATGTTTTTTGGTCTTGTTTTGAAAGCAGAGTATCATCGGTTTCTCACCTACTATGGCGCCCCTTCTTAATTTGATTATAATTCAGAAAGGAAATAATACCAGTAAAAACTCTTCCCAAAATTAATCAAGGGGTAAGAGGATCATGAGCTACAAATTCAGGAGAAATTTTTCAGTGTGTTGGGAGTACGGCCCGATACATCAAGTGTTATAATACAAATTGTCGGAAATTTCTTTTTCAAGTATCCAATCACTTTTGCTATGACATTTAGTGTATTAGACCGTGTTCCCGGCACATTGAAAAATCTCTCCAAATTCATGTTTGGCCTATAAATGCTCATGCTAGCATTCATGCCTTATTAAATACACACCCTCCTCTTCCTGACTGTCCTCTCTTGGTATATTTTATCCAAATAATCCTCATCAATTCCCATCTACATGTATGTAGACGAGAGACGAGCTGTCGACCATCAACACACCACGGGGGACTGGCAACATGCCGGGTTAAACGGTTGCCTACATGTGTATGTGTGTATCATGTATGTATACATGAAGTCATCATAATACAAGCACACACATAAAGTGTACATAGATAAGTATATACTTTTGTGTAGTTATATTACCTATGAAAATGTAGCGAGGACCTGCCTAATTAAGGAAACTCATTAATCTCAGATTGGGACTTGTATCCATGTATTTTGAACATTTAAATGTTTCAACACATCGACCATCCCTTGCATTAAATCACATGAATAGGGAATGTACTAGTGTTTTTTTCTCTCTCCATCATCACATCGAGAGCACACTGCTACAGTGGAGTTTTATGTCAATGTTATAAAGATGTGTTAATTTATTATGTATTATTAACACAAGATACCATCGTAATGGTGTATCCATACAATACAAATTGCTCTTTGTAAAGATAATAGAGAGATATTTGATGCTGGTGGTGTGTATGTAATTAAAGTAAGGAATAAACTGTCGTTTGACTTCCTGAATTATTATTTTAGTTGAAATTGACTCTATGAACTATTTGTTTTTTGGTAAATTAACTTTCTGATCTATTTAAAATCAGTCAATTAACTCCTCATTGTCAAATTTGATGAGAATTCATCCACTTTACCTTCAAATACTGGCACATGACCACACGTGATTCACTCTAAAGGGTAAAATTGTGCCAGTATTTGACGACAAAGTTGATGAAATTTCATCAAATCTAATGATTATGGGTTAATTAGCTGATTTCAAATAGTTCAAGAGGGTATTTACCAAAAAAATAATATTCCAAGGGTCAATTTTCAACTAGGATGAGAGTTTCGGGGTCAAACAGCTATTAAAATAAGGGATAGTGATGTCAAAAAAATATGGTTGTGTCCCATAAATGTTTGAAAATAGCATTCAACTACAATTTGTCAAAGTGATATCGTTTAATGGCTTCCTGCGTGGAGCTAATTATGGGCATTTAGTAGACCAATTCATTAATATACCTAACGGACATTCAATGAGAATTTAATTTCATCACACTCCTTCAAGTTTTGCCTACCAACCTTCTTGTCACAATTTATTTTAATTATTTTATTTATTCATTTTCTCATGCTACATGTTTTGCATGGATAATTCCAAAGTTATCATCACAGTATAATATATACATATTACACACATGGATGCAACCATTTGAGATCTGTACTTCACATACAGATAACTAGTTCTTTTTGTGGAGAAAACAGTGTGCTGGAAACACTGTCGAGTATCGTACATTAAGTGTAATAATACAATTGGTTAAAAGCTTAAAAAAAAAATTCAGCCACTTGTACTATGACACTTTGTATTTTGAGTCGTATTCTTAGCACATTGAAAATTTTCTCATTTTTGTTGGGTTGAAACTTGAAACCCTAATCCATCTTTCTTAGGGGAAGAATTTAAATTATGGCCAGGTGCAAAAATTCGAATGTGGTCCGGCTAGGTTAAAATTGAAACATCTTCCATACAAATACATCTTGTTGGTAGGATTACATAAATATATTGACTATTTATAATAAGTGGGACTCATTTGGGATTCATGTGAATCCTTATATTGTCGTGAGTGCATTTCAACTTTGAGTGATATATATAGCTCTCTAGTTGTACCTAACCCAACCAACTAATCCTAGTTCTCTTTGAGGATATAGATTTTTTAGTATCCTCGGACCATAAGACGATACAACACGTGTTATAATATAAGTGAAAATGTATTAAGAATATATCCTAAAAGTTGGATACAACAACAATATCGTTCACTTAATATAAACCGCCAAATAACCCTCACGTAGTTTGTATCTTTTTTAGAATTATAATGCTTGTGTTCTTTCATGGGAACCTACTTATCTCTTCACTTACGATTAATGTATTTTCACCATACGAACATTATAACATGAACTGTTTATTATCTTTATTATCATTAAAAGATCATAAGCAAAAAAATTATTCAAACAATAGGACTTTTTTCATTCATTAAGAAGGAATTCTTTTTTCCAGATAGACTGATGTATTAGAGCGTCTCCAAGGAAAAGTCAAAAAATTCACATCAGCAATAACAGTCGAAAAATACAACACTAGTGTATTCCAACCGAAATGCGAATTCCTATGTGGCATAATGTGGACAACAACTTCAAATCTATTTGTAGTTATTAATAAATAATTTTTATCATTTTCTTACTATTTTTTTGTTCTAAAAATACTTATTACAATTATGAAAAGTAAATATGTCACATCCCAATCTCGACTCTGTTGTAGCACGATATTGTCCTATTGGGCTTACCATTCCCTCACAGATTTGTTTCTAGGAACTCATACGAGAACTTCCCAGTGGGTCACCCATCCTAGGAATGATCTCATCCGAACTTGCTTAACTTCGGAGTTGCCAGCACAGCTCGATTCGGAGTCCTAGTGGACATTCCGGGTCGGGATGTGTCAAAATATGTAATAAATAATTGTTTAAATTTA